CTTTAGGTGTAGAGGTTCCATTTTGGATGTGTCATTTAGGGCTGGGCATCTCTTAGACACATAGTCTATGTGTGTGACCAGTTGTGAAACTCTGTAGAAGTCTTCATCTGTTGAAAAAAGATAAAGTCAGTACTTTGATGAGTAGTGAACTGTGTATTTCTCTGTAAATACAAGGATTCATATTCAGCACACAGTAAGAAAATACATGTGTCTAGAGATATGAGAGAGAGAGGATTTTCTCAAGTACCTATGACCTCTCCAGCTATGTGTATTTGGCTATGCTTATAGTATCACACTCAAGTTACCTTCCACTGAGTGGGCTTTAAGTCCAATTAGAGAGTTATTGATTATCCACAAGATAAAAGTGTCATTACTGCATCGCCATAGTTTGTTGGTCATTGATTTGGTTATTAGACCTCAAAGTTAAGGTTGGACCATTGATTGATTTTCTCCCTTAGCAGCCTGCATAGTAACAAACATTTGATTCCATTAGTTCAATCTGTGCTACTTAGTAGGAATGACTATGTGTAGAGGATTAGAACATGCCAAGTTACTAAGAATTCTCTGTAACAAAATAGGTAGTGCAATGGTTTGAATGAGAATGTCCCTCAGAGACTCTAAGTATCTGAACACTTTTTCCCCACTTGGTGATTCTGTTTTGAGAGGTTTAGGAAGTGTGATCTTATTTGAGGAAGTACATCACTGGGGCTGGGCTTCGGCTTTGCACATTTCCAGTCTGTTACTTTCTGCTCCTGTGCCTGATGGGATATGTGAGAAAGGCTCTTGCTGCAGAAGCCCAAAGGCCCTACTTCAATCCCCAGAATCATGTAAAGCAGCTGTTTTCAGGGACTCCTATCTGTAACCTCCGTATTCCCACAGCAAGGTGGGTAGTAGAGGCAGGAGAATTGTTCAGAACCTAAGACAGCTACCCTGGAATACTCAGTGTGGCAGAAATAGCAAGAGAAACTTTGAAATAGTTAGAGAGAAAAGGAGAACCAGGTCTGAAAGTTGTATACTCCAGATCTAATCCATGGCATGAGCAAAATCACAAAGCTACACTCATCCTCCCAACTAATAATGATAATAGTGGTGAATAGTAAAGTATATATGCATATACATATGGTTATGTCAAGAGTAATTTAACATTAGGACATTAATTATAATTAATCACAAGAATGGGGTCAATAAAAAGAATCATTGGACAAGACATAAAAAGTATTTATTAAAATTCAAAATCCATACATAAAACTATTAGTACAGTAATAATTATTTTCTTGAAGATAATAAAAATTGATGTTAGGAAAAATATGCATATACATATGGTTATGTCAAGAGTAATTTAACATTAGGACATTAATTATAATTAATCACAAGAATGGGGTCAATAAAAAGAATCATTGGACAAGACGTAAAAAGTATTTATTAAAATTCAAAATCCATACATAAAACTATTAGTACAGTAATAATTATTTTCTTGAAGATAATAAAAATTGATGTTAGGAAAAAGAGATGTTGAAAATGCAAGTGTTATTAAAAATAGTCAACACTAGATTAGAAGCCATCTCATTAATGTTGGGAATCAGGATGAGAAAGGGTACTGCAGTCATGGCTATTGGACTGTGCCCTGATTGTGCTCTTCCATAAAAGCAGTAATGAGAGCAAAGTAAGAGGTACTTTTTAAAGTTGAGAGCACAATTCTTACAAATTATGTGATTTTTTTTTTTTGCTTTCACCTGAGAAATCCAACAGAAGCTACAAAAAAAAAAAAAAAAAAACAGGCTACAGTAACTGGAAAGTTAAATTCAAATTTGGTAACAAAATTAGCATAAAATCAATAGCTTTCCTATTTGCCATTAGAGAACAGTTTAGGAAATGTTGTGTAATCACATTTATAACAGCAGGGATCAAAACAATGCCAAACTCTTCCTGATATAAAACCTTGCATAACTCCCTTCAACACTTGAGCAAATGTTTTAGAATATTTGAGGTTATGGAAGAAAGAAGAGGAAAATTTTCCAAGAGATTAGATACGAAAATTAAAAATGGAGCTGAAATGAGTTTAGGAGAACTAAAGGAATATAAACTTTGTTCCACAGCTTTATAAGAAGACAAGAATCAGAAATTAGGTATGACTTTTTAACATCATGAATTTCTTTAATTCCTGGACTCTGGCATCTCAATATCATAAGAATTGAATTTATTGGGGGCTGGAGAAATGGCTCAGCAGATAAGAACACTGAATATTCTTGCAGAAAACCTGGGTTGGAATCCCAGCACCCACATGGCAGCTAACAACTATGCATAAAACCAGTTCCAGATCTGACAGTCTCTTCTGTCCTCTATGGGCATTGCATGACACAGGTACACTTACCTACATGCAAGCAATACATGCATACAGGTAAAATAAAAATAATAAATAAAATGTTTTTTAAAAAAGAATTGTTTTTGAATGAATGATCCAAGTGAGGAGTAAATGAATGAATTCATGTTTGTATAGTCAGGAGAGAATGGTACAGTAACTCTTCAATTTTAGTTCAAGCTGCCTTTCCATGGAAATGAAAACTATATACAAAATAATTTGCTTCATGAATATCTGAGACTCTGAAACTCTACCAAAAGTAGGAATCTATGTGTCAATATCTCCAAATTTCAATATTTATCACTAGATTGAAGAAATGAAGTCCTCAAGATTGTAAGGTGCAAGCTTCACATGTCAGAAGACTTTGAGAAAAACATGCTTCTCACCCTGTACTCCTGGATTTTCCCCTCACAGTCACTATGGGAGACCAAAAACGCAGCTGGAAGCTACTGGGTTGTCACAGTGGGGCAGTCACTTGAAATGAAGGAGCTAAAAATAAAGTGAACAGTAGTGCCACGTGAAAGATTAGCCATAAAGGACTTAGGCCTTAGAATTATAGTTATCACTGAAAAGCTGTTTGAACAGATACTAAAAGTGGAAAGAAATTCTGACAACACATCAGAAAGGATTTTCATAGAAAGCTTAACTGAATTGGTTCATGAAACATCAGATATGTCCAGTGAGTATAGAAGGGTTAGCTATTTTAACTTTGACTGAAAATAAGTTTGTTCAAAATTTAGCCCCAATTGTGGTAAAAAGCTGATGTTTGAAAACCAGCACTTAGTTAATTTCTATGAAAGTCACATAATTAGGAGATATTTAATACATAACATAGATAAGGCTATAGATTTTTAAAAATCAGAAAACCAAGTACAAAGTCTGGAATAGAGCACTGAATGTTGCAGCTTTTCTTTATTTGATTTGTTATTTCAAATCTTGCTTTTCTTGTATAAATGAACAAGTCTTTCATGTATTAATTCATAGCATATTTGGAAATTTGCAGAAGAGTAAAATGATTGCAAATGCTTTCTTTAACCAAGAATGTCATTCTAGAGATTTTTACACACTATAATATATTACCTGCTTTCCTTTCTGCTTTAATCCAACAAATGGAGAAAGTCACTTAACAGAGGAAGGATTCATTTTGGCTCATGACTTTAGGGGATGAAGTTCCTTATGGAATGGAAGGCATGGCAGTCAGATTGTGATGGTACACATGGAGATGAATGTTGTTACTCAGCTCACTCTTCCCTTTCTCCTTATTTTTATTTTTACAGTTTCAAAAGTGTGATTAGGAAGGAAAACATGAATTTTTCTACACTTTATTTTATGGATAACAATTTACACATTAAATAACACTACAATAGAGTTATTATATATTCAAATGTATATTTTTATCGAACTTTTTTGAATTTCCTACAATAGATCTTAATCATATTTAGACCTCTTCCCTATCTGCATGCCCCCATTCTCCACTCACAGCAGTGCATGAATTCTGTCACAAATGTTAAGGCCTATTGAGTCAAGTTTGTGTACCCAGATGTCCCTTGGTGTGAGTTCATCTAGTGAAGCCTAGTCAGCCTATCTAGTGTCACTGCCTTGAAGAAAACCAACTCTGCCTCACCCAGAAGAAATCAGCTGACAATAGACCAATAGATCCTCACTCAAAGTTGAGGCCTGTTGCTCATTTCCTGAGGGCTATGATGTTTTGCTTTGTTTTGTTTTGTTTTGTTTTGTTTCTGATGAGTTTGCATGAGTCTTGTGCATGCTGTCTCTGTTGCTATAAGTTCATATGAGCAAGTTCCCAGAAGCTTAGATGACTCTGTTTCCACCCTTGGAAACACCACCCTTGATTCTTTCAATATTTTCACTCCCACTTCCACGATGATTCTTGAGCTCTGGGTGGGTGGGTTTTACTATGAGTCCTATATAGGACTCAACTGAAGTTTCTTATTCTCTACAATCTGGCCAGTTGAGGGCTTTTGTGTTCACCACCTCTGTTGCATGAGGAAGCTTCGCCAATGAGAGTTGAGAGATGCATTAATATTCTCTCCAACCCATGTTCCACTATATTCTCTGAGCCTTAGGTATAAAAGTTCAGTGGATTTATTATAATGGTAGATGTGTCACTTGAGTTGGGCATCTCGCAGGCTCTTATTCTGTGATGCCTCCAGCCACAGGTAGTTTGCTAGATTTGTAGAATCAGGCATAAATTCTCTCTGATTGAGTGGCTGTAAGTCAAATTAGACCACTGCATTATAGATGCCAGCACACAGAATTCTTATAGTCACATTCAGTGTGTCTTTTTTTTCTCTGTTAAACCTCCTGGAGCCAAGGAACACCCAGAGGTATGTCTCCTAAGTGATTCCAAATTCAGTCAAGTTGACCAGATAAGCAATCATGTGTGATATCTAGTGGGATAGTAAAGAAATGCACATATCCACTTCTGCCTATCAACATCTTGGAAAGGTAGAGTGCAGTCACATGTATTCTCCTTTTTCCTTTCTTCATCTCTTTTCTTTTATGCTCAAGCCAAAAACTGCATTGCCAGAGAAAAGGGGAAAGATACTAGTACTTATGTTGCCCCTTTTTATCTGAACACTCAACCCCCATTTAACTATAGAAAACATGCTGTGATTGCAAGCAACACTGTGGTAGATGAACAAAACTATCTGACAAGCTTTGAGCTTGCTATAACAAGAAAGTCGAACCTCTCCCAGTATTTTCCCCATGAGACAAAACATTATATAGACTCAAACAATATTTAAAAAAAGAAAGAAAGAAAACATGCTGTGAATGGGGGGTTAGAATATGGGTAGATAGATCACTTACCACCCTTCCCAGCTTTCCAGGATGATTTAAGTTCTGGTGCACTTTACTTTCTGCCTTTAACCTGGTAGCATAACCCCTTCTATTTACAGAGCTACGAAGACTTACTATCCCTGTTAAGGAAACTATCATACTGGCCACTCAGAAATATTTCTCCACACCCATGATATATATTTCCTTTTTTCTCTATGACTCAGTAACATGCTTTTTCTGTTTAATTTTGTAGATATATTGCCATTTCTAGAAATATAAGTCAATGTATACAATGTTGCTTATTTAGGTGATTTGTTCACCAAATATTAATGTTGTGATTGTTGCCTGTAATTTTGGTATATTAGTAGGTTTTGCTGCTTACTATTCTGGGTATATCAAAGTTAGTTTAATCATTCACATGGTAATAGAAATTATTTATTTTCAGTTATTATCTGTAAAGTTAGCCTTAGTGTTGTAAGAATGGAGGGACTGGGATTTATGCTTGCTGTACGTTTATCTTTTTTAAAAGAAGTAAGTTACCCAAGAATAAGGTGTATAGAAATGGGAAGCTCCAAAACACAAGATATGAATCCAGAAAGGTAACTAGAGCTGATGCAGGACAAGGCAACTAACTATGTAAATCCCACAGTATGTAGCAGAAGTTGTGGAAGCTAAACCAGGATCAGGCTTTCAGGTGCCTCTCCAGGCCCAAGGACTGTGAAACTACACAAGTTGAAATCTGGCCAGAGTTGACCCAAGGTAGAATGTTCAGATGCAGAGAGTCAAACCAGACACCAGTGTGCTGACCCTTGGCTAAAAACTGTTACAGTAAACATGAGCTGAGTTTTATGGGGATATGCAGTTACTGCCAGTGGTGGCTGCTCCTCCGTTCTCGTGGATGCCGCTCCTTCGTTCTCAAGGGCATCGAGGCTCATCCTCCACTCGCCCAGGACTGAAGCCGCTCTTCTGCTCCCCTGGCACAGCCAACGTTCATCGCTGCTTCTGCCGGGTCCCGGACCCCAGGGCTGGTGAGGAGACTGTGTCAGCAGAGCCACATTTGGACTCAGGAGACCAGGTTCAGTGACACAGGTCTGTTTATTGCAGGAAGGCACAAGCTTATATAAGGGTAGTGGTCCAATCACAGCACAGCAAGTAGGATACCGCATTAGCATAACAGACTTAGCTTCTTATTAGCATAACACAATTAACGTCCTACCACAGAATAGCGGGGTGGGGGTGGGGGGTAGGATGCCTCATTAGCATAATGGGTTTCAGATTATAGAGCCCTCATTCCTGGAAACCATGTGACTCTGAGTGTTGTAATAGCTAAGTGTAGCAATTTGGATTTCCAAAGGAGGTGATTAGGGAGTGGCAAACTCTAGGCATCGGTCTCCTGATCTGCCAATGGGAACAAATGTCACAGGTGCTTCTTGTGGCTCCAGTGGTCAGGCTGTTGCCTTGGGCTTGCTGTATGGCTGTCAGTAAGACCTTCACCCTAGGCTCAAGCCTGTCTCCCACAGGGATAGAATCTATGGCCCTGAATACCAGAGCCACAAAAGTAAACAATAACTTAACTGTACTAGGATTTAGTACTCTCCTAGATATTGTGAATGCTGTCCCTGAAAGAAGAAGCATAATGTGATTATGAGAAACAGAAGACTCAGACAACTAACTCCAGATACTGGAGTAGCAGTCAAGAAACAAAACAAAGACATGTCTCCTCCTCCTAGAATTACTGATCCCATAGTAATTCCCTTAAATGAAAATGACTTGGAAGAACTTCCATAAAAATAATTCAAACCAGGGGCTGGAGAGATGGCTCAGTGGTTAAGAGCACTGACTGCTCTTGCAGAGGACCAGGGTTCGATTCCCAGCACCCACATGGCAGCTATGAACCGTCCTTAACTTGAGTTCCAGGGGAATCTGAAACCCTCTTCTGACCTCTGCAGCATTTCATGACATGGGTGCATTCACATACATGCAGGCAATACATTCATACACATAAAATAAAAATAATTTAAACAAGCAAATTGAAGAGTCAAAATGCAAGAGTCAGAATAAACTGATCCCATTTTGGCTAGCTGTTTCAGGCAAGCCCGGACAAGCCCAGGCATGTTGTAAATCTCCAGTTGCTATCCCCCCACACCCCACATGTAAAAGCCTTATAAGGTAGAAACAGAAACTTCTGGCCCTACAGATAACAGTCAGCACATTCCAGTGCCTCAAAGACAGCCTCTACCAATAAAAATCTTTCCCGTCCTGAGGACGTAGGACCATCCAATCATTTTAAAGTGTATCTGGCACCAGTGGGTTTCAGCAAAACTCCCTATAAAAAGCTTTCCCCACAATGGTCAGGGCTCTCAGTATGGATCCGCTGTGTAGGTGAAATCTGAGGGCCCAAGGTTATGCACAAATAAAGGCTCTTTGCTGTTGCATACACTCCAGACTCCTTGGTGGTCATTGGGGGTCATGAAATCTGGGTGTAACACAAATTACAGATCAACCTGCCTGATTAACATAGATGCAACAATTCTTAATAAAATTCTAGAAAATTGAATTCAAGATTACATGAAAATATTATGTCTTACAGGGTTTATACACAGTTCAATATTGTATAACTGTATTAATTCAACTGTGAACCTAAAAATTTACAACCACTTTAGAAAGATGCATCTTTCGTCTGGAAATTGTTATTAAATATGTTAAAGCTGTAAAGGAATGCTTCTAATGATGTGGTTATTAAATAAATTTTAAAAAAGAAAAAAATATGTATTATTCGTTATGATGAACTCCAGCCATGCAAGAAAAAGGCAACACATGTAAATCAATAAATATAATTCATCAAATATATTGATTGAAAGAAATCAAATGAAGATATCAACAGATGCAGAAAGGCTTTGAAAAAAAAAATTAACATTCTTTTATGATTAAGGGCATGGAGAAGATCTGGATGGAGGGAGCAAATCATAAAGATTGTACATAATAAAAAACCCATAGCCAATATTATGTGAAATGGAGAAAAAGTCAAAGCATTCCCACCAAGAGGAGGAACAAGACAGGGACATTCACTCTATTTAGTATAGCCCTTGCTGTCTCAGCTAGAGCAGTAAGACATGATAAGGAAACCAAAGGAATGGATAAAAATAGGAAAGGAAGTCAAAGCATTCGTATTTGCAGATGATATGATTTTATCAATAAAAGACCCGAAAGAATCTATCCCCCACCAAAAGAAAACATCTTAAGCACTTTCAGTAAAGTGTCAGGAAAAAAATTGACATGCAACAATCAATAGCTTTCTAATACATCAATGACAAAAGTTTTGAAAAAGAAATCAGAGAAATTCCATCACAATAGCCACAAAATAGATGAAATTCATGACATTAACCATTACCAAGAAAATGAAAGATTTCTACAATAAATCCTTTAAGACACTGCAGAAAGTGAGGAAGACACTACAAGACCAAAAGACCTCCCGTGATCATCGACCAAAGGGAGTAGTTCAATGCAATCCCAAGAAAAAATTCACGTAGAAAAAAGTCTCATAATTTATATGGAGGTATGAAAGAGTAAGAGTAGCTAAATCACTCATGAACAAAAAGAAGAATTGGGAACTATCACCATACATGACTTCAAATAACACTATAAGACCATAGTAATAATAGCATCATGGTACTGGTACAAAATCAGATGCATAGATCAATGCAGTAGAAGGGAGGACCCAGATAAAAGTCCATACAATAATGATGCTTTGTTTTGATGAAGATGCCAAAATATACTTAGGAGAAACGACAGTACTTCAACAAATTTGCTTGGAGACCTGGATTACAACATGCAGAAAAGAAATTAGAGCCTTATCTAACTGTACAAAGCACAACTCCAAATGAATTAAGGACTTCAGCAGAATATATAGCACCTTGAAACTGCTAGAGGAAATACAAGGATCTGCAGGTCAACTTATAGGCACAGGTGTGGTTGTTATGGGACTCTGAATAGATCTCTGTTAGCCCAGGAAATCAGATCAACAATAGGCAAATGGGATCTCATAAAACTAAAGTGCTTTGTACAGGAATGAAGCTGTCAATTGAGTGAAGAGGCAGCACACAGAATGAGAGACAATGTTTGCTACTGCACATTCTACTGAGGACTGGTCTCTAGAACATACAAAGATCTAAAATAAATGAACATTTAGAAAATAAATAAACCGATTACAAAATAAGTTAAGGACCTTACCAAACGTCTTCAAAATGAGAAACTTCAGTGACTAGTAAACACTTTAAAATTCTTCAATGTCCATTGCCATCAGGGAAATGCAAATTAAAACTACTTTAAGATTGCACCTCACCCCAATCACAATGGACATCTTCACGAAAACAAGTGACAATACATGCTGGTTTGGACAAGGTTAACAGAGAACTCTAACACACTGTTGGTAGGAGTGTAAACTATTGCAGATAGTATGGAAATCAGTCTGGAGGTTATTAAAAAAATGGAAATAAAATTACATATGATCCAACTCTACCACTTGTAGGCATATACTCAAAAGTCTTTGCATTCTACTACAGAGGTATTTATACATCTATGTTTATTGCTGCTCTATTCACAATAGCAGGGAAGTAAAATCATTATAGAGGTCCAACAACTGATAAATGGATAAGGAAAAAGTGGTGCCTGCACACAATGAAATTTTCAATTGTAAAGAAATATGACGTTTGCAGATAAATAGGTGGAACTGGAAAAAAAAATAAAAATAAAAAAACCCTATACTGAGTCAGGTAACCCAGATCAACAGAAAAAAAAAAAAAAAAAAAAAAAACCCAAACCTGAGCCAGGTAACCCAGAACAAAAGAAAAAAAAAAAAAAAAAACAAAAACCCAGCATGTTCTCTCTCTTCATTCATCCTCACTTTGAATCTTTTGTGTTGTTAATTTGGGATGTCTGGAACCTAGGAAACAAGAAACAC